AGAGAGCAACATACAGCGAAATGCCCCCCCAGAGAGGGGATCCCTCCAGCAGCGCAGAGCGTTTCCTTTTCCCCTTTGACAGCAGATGGGGAGGGGACACCGCCGGCGAGCCCAGTGCTTGCATCCAAACCCAGCGCAGAAATGTTCCCGTTAACCTGGGCCAGCCCTGTTGTGTTTTTCCTGGCTCGTGCCACCACAGCTGATAAGGGGCGATGCTCTAGTAGCAAAAAAATAGGGGCTGCTTTTGCTGCTGTTTGTTGCTTTTCCCGCTTGGCACCTTTTATTTCCTGCGAGATGCCTCGCACCTTGCCACAGGGCTGGGAGAAGGAGGCTTCCCGAAAGGTGGCAGGGGAGGCTGGAAACGGCAAGAAGGACTCGATGCCTTGCCCAATACAGGCAAATAATAGAGAAATGCAAGAAATAGCCCCCGTCCTCCATCTCCCAACAGGAAAAGTTATTCCCCAAGTCCTGCAAACTCAGGATCTCTACCTGGGCTGACAAGTTATTAATAATTTAGCAGAGGAGTCTGAATTTAGCAGCGATCAGAATAAATCTCTTTGATGCAAAAGCCAGTTTGAGAGCTTTGCTCCTCACCTGGGCGCACCGCGCGCGACGGCGGCTCGCGGACGGCAACGATCTCGTGAATCCCGTTGCCCCGCAGTGTTCGGGGCTGCTGCCAGGCCTCGCAGCATCCCCTGGATCCCGCTCCTCCCGGGCCCCCCTGCCACCCACAGGTCCTTTCCCGAGTAGGAGAGTTGTTTAGCTCCTTTGTTTCGAGTAAATCGGCCTTTAGAGATTAGGTGTTTCGTGGGAACGTGTTTAATCTGCTTTGGCTGGCTGTGCTTCAGCAATAACCCGGCCCGCTCGCCCTGCTGCCGTGCATCCCGGTTGCTTCGCTTCCTTCCAAACTGTCTCACTGTCTCCAAAAAAGTGAAGCCCTATTACAGCCATTGACTAACGAACGCTGTCGCAGTCTCTCTCCCAGTTGCTGCGCGGGGCTTTTCCCAGGTGTCCCCGGCTCCGGTGGCCGGCACCTCCACATGCAGTGGCAGCAC